TTCTAAATATGTGATGTCCTGATAAAATTCCTAAAAAATGTTCAATCTCGACTGCTGGCTGTCGTGCCGGAGAAGCATCTAAAACTTTTATCAAGAAAAGTGTCAATACAAAAGGAGCAATAGGGGAATGTTACACTACATTATGCATACTAAATGTAATATTGGAATCTGTAAATTTATTAATTTCTTAATGTTCATTGACTAAATCGTATTTTGAATAAGGTATCAATTAAAGATCTATAATTTACCGTTGATCCAATGTCCAAATGTAGAGTGTTGTGTTAAAGTATATATTTACATATAGTGCGTAGTGCAAATATAATTAATAATTTATTAATTAATACTACCGCAAACTATAGCTCTTGTTACTATTCCTTAGTCTAACTTTACCGAACAAACTTGTACATGAACTCTTCTTATACATGGTTCAATATATTCTTTCAATACAAAATATTCTATTTCTATAATGCGTATTAAAATGATTAAAATAAAGAAATAAGTCCGAACAAATGTACATATTCCTTCATTATTTGTTATCTGAACAATTTCACTTTTTGTTAATTAACAAAATAATATAAGAAAGAAACCGCAATAAAACATACTGTTTAATAATCTTTAAACGATTATTGTATATGAAATTTAGTACCTATTTCAGTATAGTTGACTTCAGAGAGTAACTGAGAAAGAGAAATAGTGCTTTACCTGACTGTTCTTATCCCATTGTGTTCTAAATAAAGGTATCGTTCGCTGTTTGTCACTCGTAAAATTTACAAGGAGTTAAAAAAACTAAACTTTACTTTCTAAATGTGTGTTGGCAAATTAAGAATTAGTTTTAAGCATTTTTATACTCATATTTCTTTAGAAAGTAATGTCATAAAATAAAAACGCCAAACTTATCGTTAAATAAATTGTTTAAAATAATCAGTGAAGAAAATTTCTAAACGAATTGCATAATTCAAGATGCGCATTAAGTTATGAACCAAATGCCGATGAGTACACCCTGCACGAAACTAAAAGTAGAAGGCGAAACCGATAAAGTCCGGGATATTCAGAAATTTTCGTTTTTTTTCTTTTCTGGGAAGTAGAAATTGAAAGTAAAACACAAAGTCAAAAAATGATTTCAACGAAATAAACATGATCAAACCAGAACAACGTTAATCTAAATGTTTGAGAAAACATTACAAAATAATGGTAATATAGGTTAAAGTAATATTGTTTAACTTTAAATTGTATAGTTAAAGTATTGACTTAAGTACAGACCATGTTTTCTGATTTTGGTCTTAACATTGGCATGTGTAGCGTTAGTTATTACAAGTGCAAGTTATAAATTTAAATATATTCATTCCGGATTAGATTAAAAGTAGAGTTATTTGCTTACTTGCTGCAAACATGTTTCAATGCAGTAATGTGATTTAATGCAGATGCGACACAGACAATGATATAATTCGTTGTTGCAAATTTGTTTCATAACCGTTTACCATCAGAAACGTAATTACACTTTTTCGCGTGTTTTTTTTACCAAAATGTTAACTTAAACTTTATACATTATAAAGTGAATGTAAAGTACAATTAAACTTACTTTGTACTTTGAATATATAATTGTTGTTGTTTGTGAAAATTATTCCTAAAATTATTACAAACGTTTCGTTTATGAATTTGTTTGTTTTGCATGTTCTGCCATAAAAAAAGATAAAATTGCCCTCCGCATTTTTGGGTGAATGATTAATAAGGCGGGTAATACTCTCTTTATATTTGAATGTCCACAACAATTACGAAAATAACAAGGAGGGCACATCCACATACATGGGCTTTGGCAAAAGGTAAGATTGGTAGCATTCTCCACGTACTTATGTTTCCGCAGCAATAGAAATGATAATAAAGAACATCATACCAATTTCTTACATAGGTATTGTCAACAATTAAAATAATTATGAGAGTAAGACACTCCCTTTTTTAAAGTGTGCGCAACAATTCAAAAACAATAATGTAGAGTGTAATAACCCTACCTTTACTGCCTGCATCCGTTTAAACAGCAACTAGGAGGTTACCACCACCCCCCTTTACTTAAGTGTGCGCAACAATTGAAACAATAATAGGGAAGGACACATGTTTTAGTATTTTCAAACAGTGAATGGAAATCTCTAAATAGCGTCTAAAGCACTTTCTTAATTATTGATAAATAAAATAAATAAATAAATTAATAAAAATACTGGAAGAAAAACATCTCTTACAATATGTACACATCCTTTGTTTAGGGTTGTTATTGTTTTAATATGAATTAAAACTATATTGATATGTTATACTAATTGTTCTGATAAATGGAAATAAAAATGTATCTGACTAAGAGTTAGTCATTCTGTAAAGAAAGATCAAAAAGTTCGGCTGCACGGTCCTTGACAATTTTCTTTGAATGGTGTCTATTTTCTGTGTCGGACCTATTAATATCGAAATTAAAAATAAACGAAAACTGTGTCAACAAAATACATATTTATTTTCCGCTACTTATATAATTTTCAGAAAAAATGCTAATAGTATGAAAGTGAATAGGTTTATTATGCAAAATTTTTAATACCATCAATAATTATTTCAATAGTATTTAATAAATCAATAACGGATTGTCTATGAAAACTTCAATGCTGTTGTTTAGAAAGAAAAATATTTCTTAATCTGTTTCGAATCGAAAAAAATTTATAAAATCCTCATAAGAAAATGACATAACATCGTCAAAACGTGTTGTTTTTGCAATAATATTTTTCTTCAACACCACATAAACGGAAATAATTTAAAATTATATGGAAAATAAAAATAAGATCGTTTAACTTTTTGCACCAAGCATATTTGTTGTGAACAGTAAAGCAAATTATTGTCTTTATATTAAGCGTTACTTGCGATGGTTATTATGATAATAATGACAATACATTTTCGTAATCACTGTACCCTGTCTTGCAAGCTCATACATTATATTGCGTTCTCTGTCTTGCGATATCAAGCACGTGCAACTTCCAATCACTGTACCTTACATATATTTTAACTCAAACCTTTCTTATGATAACAGGAAGTAGACCAGGAAACTGACTTGTGTACATACTGTGAATATAATACATATTAAAAATAAACGCCACGCAAACAGTCTTCATTTTCTTAGACGTTCACGAAGGGTATTGCGTTTATTTAAATAACTCGAATACAGTTACAAAATAAGCACCGCCTAATAAGACACTACAGTTTATTTAAGTTAGAAGAACTTAGATACAATAACAAAAGTGTCACAAAGAAAACAATTTCGTAAATGCTAAGAAGTGTTTTCAGTCCTTTGATTTTTGTAGTATTCTATTTTCCTGCCAAACCACAGCACAGTTTTATACCAAATCCAACGTAAATTATTGTATCATATTTTTGTAAAATTCAGAGTTATCGAGTGAAATTACTTATTTCAGTATTTTTATAGATTGCTTAAGTTTCTTGGTATCATTTCAAGCATTTTAACATATTCCTCATAAAATTCGGTCAAGTAATAAGAAAGTTAGATTTTTGTGATAAGGTGCAAAATTTTTTATGTTCTACAAATTTCATATTACGGGCCTGCATATTTTGTTATACACGCGTTCTGGAATGCAAGAAAATCGTAAAAGTTATATTTCACGCTTTCCACTCAGGGTAACTATGCCTATATAATGAACGAATTTTAAATCTTCTTTGGGGACTCGTATATAGATGTTTAAAATCACACAAGGTCATTTTGACAGACATATTTATTCTTGTTGTGTAAAATTGTTAAGCTTGTGCAAGATAAATCTTTCTTTTCTTGTTGTTTTATTTAGTTAATTTTTGTTATTTCAGAAGATCGTAATTCAGTTAATTTGAAAGAAATTCGTTTTATAGAAGTTTTATTTTGCATTTTGTCGGTAATTTTTCGTTCTCTAATTTTTCGTCTTCTGTAGATTTATGGCTCTAGTGTTTCAGTCATTTCTTGAATATTGGTAATCTTTTTATTATCATTGATAGTTGTTGTTATGTATGGAAGGCCGTTAACGCATTGAGTGCACGTTATTTTATCATGCATATGTTTCATTTATATTTACTAAATAAGTTTTCATGTTCTCGTTTCACAGTAAAAGTTAATTATAATTAAGTCTGCTGCAGATGTTCTTTTTTTATATAATTCTTATTTCTTTAAGTAATTTTCATATTACATTATCAACATTTTTTTGTACGAAATTATAGGGATTCGATTCAATGAATGATTTCGTCGATATTTATGTGGTATCCGGTCTGGCTTCATGTTTTATATCTAAAAACGTATTTTATTTTACCTGTGTGTATAGGATCCATAAGGGACATTATATTTTAGAAGCTTTGGTTTTAGAAATCCGACAAAGGTCCGGCTATTCCGAAGGGAGATACTTATATCTTTATATTTGTGTACCATGGACATTTACCATGTTTTATATTTTGTAGCTTTCACCCTCAAATTTGAATCACGCATGTGTTCAACATAGCGAGGACAGTGGAGATTGTGACGTAGTGACGCAAGCCCACATCCGCAGTATTGGATCTACAATCTGTAGACAGTACAGAATCGATCTTTCTGCTTTGGATGGGTCACATCTGGAGATTGTGACGTAGCGACCACACATCCACAGTCTTGGATATACACTCTGTAGACAGTACAATATCGATCTCTCTTCTTTGGATGGGTCACATCTCGAGCATCATTGAATATTTGTTTTGAGATACGCCACCGGAAAAAATGCTATTCGTCAGGACATTAGAAACGTGACACGGAACTTTTTTTTTCTTTTATTCATTTCATACCAATCACTTTCACTATAAATATTCATTTATTTTGTAAATAAATGTTAAATAGTTTGTACCGAGTTGTGCTTTATTTTGTATGGTAGTTGTGGTCAGCCTGTGTTCCATCGTAGTTCATATTGTGACAAAAAGGAGCACCGCTCAATAAAGTCTCTGTATGTAGAAAAATGCATAATCCAAATATATCTATTTCGGCATAAGTCCACGACAATTTTATTATAACATGGTACCATACATTATTCTTTTAACAAATAACTCAGTAAGTATGTTGTAACACAAACACGCTTTTATTAAGAACACAATAAAGCCATAACATGCATTTGGTATTTTATTAAGTGTTTGTATTTAATCTTTCTGTATTCTGTCTGCTGCATACTGCATTGTTTGTCTTAGGGCAAGTAATAGCGGTATGTTTGTCTGAGTTTCTATATCAAAATCAACCTCATAATTTTTGACCGGATGAATTGATGACTGCTCGATCCCGAACATTTCACTTGCTGCTTTTATGACATCCTGAACCTTAACGCTCCAAAACATTTTTGTGATATCTTTCGCTACTTCATCACACAGCTCATCGACTTTTGTCAAAATCAAGATCCGTGGGATATCTGTAAAATAAATCAGTATTTGTTTTACTTTAAGGGATTAGTGTAACTAGCTTAATAGGTTTTGGCACACTTACCCTTTTACCAGACAATCTATAGGCAACGATGATAGTAAGACGTGATCACATAAAATATGAAATAAAATATAATGGGGGGAGAGAGCAATTTAATGAACGCATCCTTAATTATATTTTTGATACTTTAATAAAATAGAGAAAATTGAATCCCTAAAGAACTTTAAAGCGACAAAAAATGTTGCAGACTCGGCTTCATTGAGCATGTTCATGGACGATAATGAAAAGTTCAAGTTACCGTCCAAACCCCATAGCACCGGCTTTAGCAGATTTCAACATTTAAGCAATAAAAATGTGAAATATTGAATTTAGAAACATTCGCGTGTCTTCCTAAACCTAAGAAAAGAAACATTAATCAAAATAGCTTTAACACTAAAATCATTTATATTCTTTTCATTTATATTTATAACACATTTCTGTAGTTTGTTTACTCTTTGCTTTATAATTCATTCATCAACATTGCTGCATTAAGGTTTACTATTAAATAAATTCGATTTTTGTTGTTAATCAACCATTCATGAACAATTTGGTAGACTTACTTGAGAAATGTCAAATAATTTTGGCTCATGTCATATGATTTGACCTTGTTTAATTGTTTGTCTGGCGCATCTTTACTCACACGAAAATTAACAAAAATAAAACAACAACAACAAAAGTAATGGTGGACAGTGATGTCCCTACATTCAACTTATGTGTGAGTCGAAAGCAAAAGGACATAATCGGCTAATTTCACTATATAATGATAGGTAAACATGTACTTTTGTGTCAGTGTCTAATTTGTGGATTATGGATTATGTTAAAGGAACTCCACTGAGCCTAAAAACATAAAATTTGAATTTCTTTTATAGAAGTCCAAAAAAAGTGTAAAGCGTTGCTACGCTTTTATATTTTAGGACATATTATAGCAATTAGAAAAGTTATTAAGGTAAAACGGAGTGGGCGAATAATCTGAAAAAAATTCACACAAAGTAAATGGTCTAGACCTTTATCCAATGGAGCATTTATTTTGAAAATAAAAATTCTAGTCTCGTCATGCCAAAAAGCTCAGTGCACGTGGAGACCCTATAAGGGGAATGTATGAAATGAATACGGCTTTAAAGTAGACAAAATACGTACGTTCTCGCGTTATTTTGTCTTGTAATTGTTTAATCTTCTGTACATACGCTGATGGAATCCCAGCGTGTATGGCTGTTGCACTCATAACAAAGATAACACAATGCATTTGGTCTTGAAATGTAGGGTTGCGTCTAAAATAGGAGCTTGTCTTAGTGATTGGACTGGCAGGATTAAACTGCAATAATATCATAATGTCTTACTAAATGACGTCCTTAATCATTGATATATTTTGTTCATAAACATATGACCACAATGTAAATGCTTCAAAATATAAAACACTATTCATATCAAGACTTTGAAATAATAGCATATAAGAGCATGGCATTATGTTAAATGTTACAATTAGCGTTTGTTTTCTCACAGGACGGATGCTTATATTAACAATTAGTTCAGTCATAGCGATATAAAAATTCAAGTACTAAAAAACTGTTAAAATCTTCCGCCAGTTAGTTTATATATCTCTTATCATTTCCTTATGCCCTTTAACAAAGATTTACAAGATAAAATTGCGGCACGTACAGCTTTCTAGAGCTAGAGGGTCGGATACGATAATGCTTCTTTATTTCCGTTTGCTGTCCTAAATGTTACCAATTAAATGCAAGTGTACAAGTTTCTAGATATTTAATAATGACGGTATAAAATATAAGACTACTAACCATGTATCCATTTTTGACATGCCCTTTTATTAAGAACGTCAGGTCATCTGTATGAAAGCCGTGTCCATCACATGGCTCAATTCCCATTGAATCAAACAGGCGGTATCGTCTTAACAAACTCCCCTCGGTATACCGTCCGAGCTGTTAAGGGTAAATCATATTTAAATATATACTATCTTGAAGACTTTTAGGTGTTTACTACAAATTAATTTAATTTGTTTCACAAACAATAATGCTTTGGGACATCTATAAAGTATATAAACCCCTTACACAATTTGTCCCTTACGACACAGGTACATTTCCTCACTGCATTTACCCTATTTATCTTTTTGTAAAAAAATTGTAATCTTTTTATACCATTTTTGTATATGAAAACAAATATATGTACAACACGTTTATTCATCTATATATTACAAACAGCCGACCTTTAAGTATCGAACCCATAAAGTAAACACATTATCTAAATACATACTTTACATACAGTCATAAATTACACGACACATTTATGAATCATATATTTAGGTTTGTGTGTTTGATAGATTTGGTTTAACGTCACACCGACACAGAAAAGGTCATATTGCGAGGTTCAAGCTTTACTGATGGAAGAGCATTATTTCAGGCACGGATGGGCACCTGAGTAGAACCACCGAAGTTCCATAAGCTTGCTGGATAGCTTCCACACATGAAATAATCCAAAGTCTATGTCGGAATTCGAATCCAAGTGGTTTGTAGTCAACGACCCTAACCGTTGGGCCACGGACGCCCGATATACATTCATACATTTATGCATAATTACACATGTACGTATCATTGTACATTGTAATTACATATTTGTATATAGAAATGTGTTCGTTACACAATAGTTCTTACATATTTGTGAAAAACATAGGTTTTGAACACAACACGTTATACAATACACCATCCTTTGCAAATGACACGTTTATTTGTTTGTTTTGGGTTTTACGTCACATCGACACAGTATAGGTCATATCGCGACGTTCCAGCTTTACTGGTGGAGGAAGACCTCAGGTGCCCTTTCGTGCATTATTTCAGGCACGAACGGGCACCTGAGTAGAACCACCGACGTTCCGTTAGCTAGCTGGATAGCTTCCTCACATGGAAGAATCCAAAGTCCTTGTGGGGATTCGAACCCACAGCGGTAAGGGGCAAGTGGTTTGACCACTCGGCCACGGACGCCCCCAAATGACACGTTAAACATAACACATTTGCAAATGAAATAATATACATTTTGCATAAACATAAAACCTTACATCTAGTGTCCAGCTCGCATCCCCTGTATCACCTGTTGCTGCCAGTGCACATTTTCGTCCTTTTCCAATACTTAAAATGGAATTGATAAAACTGGATTTTCCTGCTCCCACTGGACCTAGCATCAACAGATTTGGCTTTTTCTCCGGCTGTAATTCTCTTATTTCGGATAATATGGATTGTTCAAGCTGTGATAAAAGGAAAATAATTCCTACAATGTCACTGTTCTTTAACCAATATCTGCATGTGATCGTCAATCAAATTTATGTATCTTTCTTGTTTATTTAGGGGAACTATGTTAAGTTATATCTTAATTTTAATTAAGTATATTCTGCAACATTTATTTACACTTCCTTGTTTACTGCATTTATTCAACAACCAACTTTCGTTTTGTAACATCAAATATTCATTTCGAAAAGTTGTGCTATATATGATATTGAAACACAAGTAATCTTAAATCAAAATCGGATCTAAATCATGTGAAAGGTATTTTTTCTATTGAAAGCGGCGAATACGTATACCGCACACCAGGCAAGCTTAAAATGACATTAAAACTATCAAAATGTAAATGATAAGCGTGCAGGTCACGTAAAAATAACTTCAGATCTAGCCATGTAACTGGTTCCAATTTCATAGTATAATTAATAAGTTAAATGTTGATGCTCCACATCAAAGACACCGCCAAATGATTGTGAACAGTCAATCAGCATTGAAATATGTTCTTTATTACAGTTGAATATCCGAAGCACATGTTCTTTGTATGTGCTTGTTGTTTAATAATTAAGTTGCATATTTTTGTGAAAAAGTAGAAACTAATGCATAAATTTACAAAGTAATGCCATGTCTGAAATTTCTTTAATGTTTGTGTGTTGCGACAAAGATTGAAACGTATGGTCGAAGCAAAATAAATTGGATAACAATTAAAAATGAAATGATTGGTATACTTTAAATAAATTCAAGACAATATGTGCCGAGAATATGTCCATTTACATATTGGTACGAATTGCATAATGTTCGAATGATTTGAGAACGAACTGTTTTGCAGTGATCTCCCCTTACTGGTCGTAGCGTAACCGCGGCGCAGAGTTTGGCGTACTTTCTTAACGGTTATGGGAGAACCCCCTTTCTGATAGTGGGCGTGCGTGGTTTAGGCTTTTTAACTTGTAATCTAAGGATTCGACAAGTGATATTAATCAAAGATGTCCTGATTTCCTTCCGCCCCGTCAACGAAGACTAAATGCTAGCATACGGAGAATTATATTAAATTTGGCGACAATTTAAGGCGGAGCCGAACTTCAACAGAGGCGGAGCAAATGAAGTGAATAACACTGCCTCAGTCGTTACCTCTCTCAACGGTTAAGTGTCAGAACGATCGACTATAGTCTGGCTCATTGACACGTTATTTATTATGATGAAAATGATAATAAATTAGATGATGATAAAAAGAATATGATATTCAAACATGGCAATATCATTTCAGTTAAACGTTTATTCTAATCCCTTAAAGCTGTGTGACATGTTTTACATCAGAAAAGCTATTTTTATTAGAAAATTTGGAAACAATATAATTTTGTTAAAATATAACCAAAATACACAAATCATGTCTAAACTTTCCCGATTGCTGTATAGACAAATGCATATCTACTAGACGTGCTTGAGGCGTCTTAAAACCCATGTGACGCACAACAAATTCTTAAATATGCTGTAATGGTTTTAAATATCATAAATATGATGCTCAAATAACATTTTTATATATTCTTCGACGTTTGGAAAATTGTTTATAAGCGTAATTATATATATATATATAAGTTCATATATATGAAGTTCACTTCAGTGTGGTATACAACCTCTACATACAGGATCTTTAAATAACCTTCGGAATGCATAGATCCCCGACCTGTCCAATCATAATTATAACCGTTATCGTTCAATACAAAAAGAAGAGCTGGAGAGTTTTTTTCATATACCAGGCAGTAGGTTATATTTTATTCTATCTTCTATTGTTCAATGCCCGTTGTTTTGAATAAATAGCCAATTTAACATAAATCGACAACAAAAATAATGAACATTATGTCACTTTTACAAACGAACCATTCTTGTTTTATTGAATGTTTGATTTTAGATTATAGTTTGAAGTTGAATATCTTAAAGGCGTGCTCATATGAATCATACTCTCCCAATGGAAATATAGATGACAAGATTAAAAAATTCTGACCCTATAACAATTATTAATTTTTTTATTATTTAAGATATTAACAATATTGATCTTGTAATTAACAAAACTTTATAATTTACAGAATAACCAATCAATTACGCTAGTATTATCTTTAAAACACCCCTACCTTGTAAGTGTTATCATTTACGGGGTTACAAATCCTCTCACTTTCGAATACGGACACGACGAAAATATCTTTAAAAAAAACAACAAGAAACAAATAAGGAAAGTCAATATCCTTTTTCCGTTTTGAGCAAATTTCATTCAAATGAATTACGTTTTCTCACTAACCAGATAGAAAAATCCTTAAATGTTACTAAAAATAGCGGTGTTGGAAAATCTTATCTCACATGGGCTTATCTCACACTCAACGTGCAGCACTTCTAAATAATACGCGATTCACTCCTATTTTAATAAAAATGAAACGTCAAAAGGTCAAAATGTATTAAATATTTGTGAGGTAATCTATTTAATTGTCTACGGAATCAAAACAGATTGATATTAACTTTCACACTGCAATGAGTCCTACTCAACCTAGGTCCGCCCTTTCCAATATCGATTTGTTACTAAAAATAGCACACTTTAAAATATCGAAACATTCTTCCTAAAATAATCGGATATTATGACGCTTTGCCTGAAAAACATTCATGTTTTTTGTTATGATAACGATGTTTCTTGATGACGAATCTTATTTTGATATATTTTAATTGAATATTCGGCCAAAATAACCGAAAAAGTAGAAAAATCTTTGCAAACGGTAAACGCTTTTTTGTCAACCATTGAAGTATGGACTGAATTCCTTATAAACACTTATATTATGGCACTTTCCGTTTTTAATATCGATGTGTTTTATCATGACAACCTTGCTCTTTGATGAGGGATCTTATATGAATTTATTTTCATTAAATTTTTCTCACATAAACTTGGTCAGAAGAATTTTTTGCGGACGTACATAATGCTTTTTAATCCTAAGCCCCGCCCCCTTTTCAAAAATAGGTACGTTGTAATGCGCGTAGCAAGTAGATTCACTGATATTTGTGTGTCCAAATGAGTGAGAAAAATAATCAACCATTGGGTTAGCTAGAGCATAGGGAAATTCCAACCCTCGGGCAATCGGTTCCATCGGGAACTCGCCAAGGCTCGTTCCCGGTGGAACCGATCACCCTCGGGTTCGGATTTCCCTATCCTCTATCAAACCCAATGATAGATTCTATTAATCCCCACTGCTTATAAAGTTAATTCCGTCTTATTTTTCCAACTGAATGTAATCGGCTGAACCAGTAGTAGCACATAACAAAATATGTTAATAGAAATCGGTAAACGACCAGGAAAGAGTATTCTATGAAGAAAGTTATGCCCATTATTTTAAGATATTCTTTCATAATCACAAGTATATTTGCAAAATAAACAAACAAACCAAACAAAAATTAATAAAATTCAATAAAATTAAATGAATAAATAAATAAAAAAAAAACAAAAAAACTTTCAGTTTTCTTTGATTTAAATTTAGCGAATAGTGATGTATGAAAGACGATGAAAATCCAATGACATCATCTCAGAGTACTTTGTATTCAGGTGGAATGACAAACATATGAATGGAAGATACCTCGGCGCTCCAGTCTGAAGGTTGCCGCCATGGGCCAGTAGCACTGAGCCTTTGGGCCCGATAAATTTCTCTAAATATATGATGTCCTGATAAATTTCCTAGAAAAGATTCAATCTCGACTGCTGGCTGTCGTACCTTGAAAGCATCTAAAACTTTTATCAAAGAAAAGTGTCAATACAAAAGGAGCCATAGAGGAATGTTTCACTAAAATATTATTACAAAATTTAATATAGGACTATGAGCATACATTTAGATTTATTAATTTCTTAATATTCATTTACTAAATCGTATTTTGAATAAGATACCCTTTAAAGGTTTATAATTTACTGTTCATTATCCAGTGTCCAAATGTAGAGTATTGTGCTATAATATAATTACATCTTGAGCGTAGTGCAAATATAATTAATAATTTATTAATTAATACTACCGCAAACTATTACTATTCCTTAGTCTAACTTTACAGAACAAACTTGCACATGAACACTTCTTATACATGGTACAATATATTTTTTCAATAAAAAATATTCTATTTCCATAATGCGTATTAAAATGATTAAAATAAAGAAATAGATCCGAACTATGTACATGTGTCTTCATATATCGTTATCAGAACAATTATAATTTTTGTAAAATAATACAATCATGTAAGAAAGACACCACAATAAAACATATTGTTTATTAATTTTTAAACGACTATTGTATATGGAATTTAGTAAGTATTTCAACATAATTAACTTAATGAGAAAGAGAAACTGTGCTTTACCTGACTGTTCTTGTCCCATTGTTTTCTAAATAAAGGTACCGTTCGCTGTTTGTCACTCGTAAAATTTACAAGGAATTAAAGAAACTAAACTTTACCTGCTAAATGTGTGTCGGCAAATTAAGAATTACTTTTTAAGCATTTTTATTCTCATTATTTATGCAAGTAATGTCGTAAAATAAAAACGCCAAGTTTATCGTTAATTAATAATCAGCCAGGAAAATTTCTAAACGGATTACATAATTCAAGAAGCGCATTATATGTATTGAAACAACTAATATAATCAATCCAGACCAAATACCGATGATGTACGAAACTAAAAGTAGAAGACGAAACCAATAAAGTCCGGGATATTCTGAAATTTGCGTTTTTTCTATTCCTGGAAGAAGAAATTGAAAGTAAAACACTCTATCTTAGAATAAATGTTTTCTAGAAAATAAACATGACCAAACCAGAACAACGTTAATTTAAATGTTTATCCGTTAATCTAGAGAAAATATTACAGCGTGATAGAAATAAATGTTTAAGTAATATTGTTTAACTTTAAATTGTATAGTTAAATGACTAACACATGCTCATTGTTTCAATAAGTTCGTTGCATGAACCATGACAGTCAAGTAGGAAAATTTGAAAGAGACCTCGGGCGTCAAGTAGAAAAAATGTGATAAAGACCTCGAGCGGGTTGAATTTTATCAGAATACCTGATTAAAATCATGGCTTGTGTAAGAAACCAATATCGTTAATGGCTTCCCCGATGATTTGCGAAACATGAAAATTAAATTGAATCGAAGTTAATAAAATTGTGAATATAATTGTTTTATGATTTTTATTTTGTTTTGTCAAATCTGATTTTAAAATATAAACCATATACTTTTATTGCCTTTAAGTAAATATTGAAGTTATATTTAGATACTGTTGTCAAAATTGAAATTAATTTAAGATAAGCCGAAATTTACATCGTCGCAAGTAAAATATGCATAATGAGTTACAACATATAAATTTGTACACATGTCAATTTTAAAATGTTACAAAATTCGATAATTTTTACAGAATTATTGTTTCCATCATGAATACTGTGACGTCATGTTATGATGATGTCTTCAAAAAGAGCGCATAACGTTAATCGTCAATTAATATGAAATAAAACTGTTAAAAACCCCATGAAATAAATGTTAATTTTGTTTGTTAAGTGTTCCGTTACAGATTTCAAACTGTTTTCATTTGCCATGTTCGAACTATGTTTTCCATTTTTTTCTTTAACAAAAAAGAAAGAAAAGAAAAATTATAACAGCAACAGAAAAAAACAGCAACAAAATACAAATTATTATTTTTTATGTACTAATAAATAAAAAAATGACATATATTTATGAAATAAAATACGTATTTTCATTTTCCGTATTTTCACTGTAAAATATTTTTCACTGCAGTTAAACATATTTTCCGTATTTTCACTGGTGTTTGCCGGACTACTTTTTGCTATATTTAGCCAATATACAAAATTTGAGGGAAAGTCATTCAAATTCTGATGTCAAATTAGAGAAATTGTATAAAATAAACAGAAAACTCAAGTTATTCTATAAATACAGGATTTATTTTCATCTTGGTATGAAAATCATATCATATTTCACTCGTGGCTACCGCAACTCATGAGCTTTGTTTTTCCTACCACTCGATGAAAATCAATGCTGTACTTATCGAAAAAAATGAATATCCTCTATATATTTGAAACTCTATAATATATAATGTACTACAATAATAAGTATTATTCTGATATACTGATATAATATATGATTAGTTTTTATAACGAAAGAACATTGTAAGTTAGATAAAAAAAAAGAGAAATACGTTCGGATGCATCAAGAAGTACTCATGTAAGTTCCTTTTTTCGTTTCATGAAATTGTTAATGAAATGGCAACTCATAAAATATTCTTTTATCAATACATTGTCATGTCTTGCTTAAAAATGAAAACGTTTGTACAAGCTTTGTGTGTATTTTGAAGTATATAAATATATTTTTAAACATATTTCTTTGTTGACATTTGCTTGGTAATTGATTGTCTACAAAGATGACACTTTTGATTAAGAATGAAAATTGTTTTAACAGACTGATTGTGAAATTTAAGCAGTTTAGTTTTATACGATCTTACTGATACCTTATCAGAAAATAGATAAAGCGATATAAGACAATAGGTCAGTATTCATAATTGTTTCTCATTCATATTATCTCTCCGACAGAAGACAAATCATAAGCTCAACATACAGGACTATAATGAAGATATTAGGTTTGAAGATTACTTTTAAGGATTTCCATATAATATTTACAAACCATTGGTACGTAAGAATGTTTAAATTTATATCGCAACGCGTTTGTCACATCGATTTCCACTGGATAACCGTGAACTGTATGTTATTCAAATACACAGCCGATGTACATTTGAAAAGTGTCTGTCAGTTTGTCTGTCTGTCTGTCTAATGATATAAGGTCGCTTTGAGACGAAACATAAGCTGATACATTTTGTACCGAATGCTCAACAAGTTTATTTGTGTTTCTTTTCAATAAATTGTACATGTTAAGTTATGACATTCTATACTTACATAACCATCATGAATATTAATTTTATAAAACTTACACATTGTTCATAACTTAATAGATTTTTTGTAAATCCAATTACAAAGGTAGTATTTTAGATGTTAATTTTGATTCTATAATTATGAAACATTTTAAAATCTCTCTTAAAGTTAAATAAAATGCATACTAATATATTTTATTTTCATTTTCCTCATAGGTGTCTCCCTACGTTTCTTACTTTTAATAAAAACTGTCGGTACGTATTCTCTTTCTCTAATCACATACATTTATATCAAATTTGTAGGTCACCAGGACTCATTTTGTATCTCTAGTTTATTTTGTAAGCAACAGAAAAGGAACGCCATAAACATATAACTGATTAATGGATACATCTAATGATGTTTTTGTTGTAAGGGGCTAAACAACTTTGCACATCAATAACATCTTGTTTTATTCTAGTATTCTTGATAATAGTATCAGGTATTAAAAAGTAAACGTGTCGCTGATTCATTTTATGACCATCACAAAATGATGTTATGCTGCTTATTTACATAACAATCTGATTGTTTTCGATTATGTTTAATTACAATTGATTATAATTATTCTTACATATAGTCGACCTCTATTATAAAATTCCTGGATAAAACACTCAGTTGCAAAGGAAGTTCGTACTAGATTATTTATATATTCTCTTTTCTTACCGAAGCATAATAGTGGCCAGCTTTGTATAAAATATTGCCGGAAAGTGATGGCAATAAAATGCTTTACTTGGTGAAATTTGATAATCTCTTGAATTTATTCAATCTACTTTGAAACATTATTTCAAAAGGCAAACAAACACATTAATAAAAATGCACTTATGCAATTTCTATTGCTCACTATTCTGCTGTTTAAACATTACAAAAAGTCTGATTATTTTACAAGTTTCATTGTCAACCATTGTAAATTCAATACATTTTTGCAAATTTTGAAATCAAATATGCGAATATCATCTGTAAAAAATATATCGAATCTTCGTGCAGCCAACAGCACATTTTTCTTTTGCATCTTGTAGTGCATTCTTTAAGAGTTGTTATTTTTTAGACATTCATTCTCTTTAAACACTTTTTATCAGATGCTTTCCAATGTTTCTCTTGTAATCAAATTGATGACCCGTTGCTATGTAACAAGACAGTCACTTGCTCCGGAACACAAGAGGTATTGTGCATTATGTTAATTCATGATAAGATTTATCATATAATCGGCTTTTTTGAACACTTTTTTCTTTTCAAATATGAATACATTTGATCAATTTCACTTAAAACAATGTGCAACAAAATACTTTGGATAAAAGTGAGTAAATGTCAGACACGGTAAAAGAATAGGACATATTTAAAAATTGTGGTCTATATTTTATGTAAATTTCTAAACAAAAGGTTTCTGTACTATACATTTTGACATATTTCTATATGTATTTCATACTGGACAAGACTACAGCACATTCAATCGTTTATACACATTTAAAATTATACTTGTATGAGAAGTTTGATAATTGTAAACTTCATTTCTGTCCTTATCATCAAAAACGAAGTGATGTTTAAGGTATAATATAAAATTTAATGTCCTATGTTCCGTTTTACAGTTTTGCTACATGCATGTACAAGAGGGAATCTATGATATGGGATGCTCTGATAATAAGGTTAATCTTTATTGTTTCAATAATCAATTAAACGAGCAGGAATCATGCCTGTAAATTTACTTTTATAACAATTCTTATGTAACACCATAATAGATATCGTTAAGTAGCAATTTAATGTATTTTTTCAATTGAATGTACATTCTTTCCAGCTTTATAGATAATCTGGCATTCTTGTTATGGACAATCAATGAAATATATCAAGTTAGCTAAATAAGATTTACAGCGTAGAAACAGTCCGAGTGAGTCTTGGCCAACAATTTTTCATGGAAAGTGAAAAAAGAACACTTAAGAAAAAAATAAAACAACAACAACAATAAATCAACAACAAAAAACAACAACGACAAACAAGAACTTCAAACAAATTAACACAAACAGTAAATATGAACAAGAAAATCTACATGAAATTTCTAACAATCTAACAATGCCTCGAACGCATTAATTTGCCCTAAGTTATTAATATTTAAACTACCTAGAATAATTTAGGAGTAAATGAGAGGCATGTCCCATTGAACCCCTAACCAAGAATGCGGCTTACACATATATTTAACGCAGTAGCCAGCCGAACGGCAAACAGCAAACTAAAAAAATATGACGCTAATAGTGCATATTATCAATGAGACAACTGCTAGGCATTTATACTCCGGTTGATTGGGATCAGTGGAGAGAACTAGAATATTGCGTTTTCTTAAGTCTATACAGAATACTCGCCCCTGGGGAGAATACTGGGACAATATATTGAATGAAAATACAAATAAATTTAAATATTATAAAAATGAAATAATTGTTATGGATTTATATTTAAAACATAAAAAAGATTCATCTCGAACATTTTTAACGGGTTCTATAAGTTGGTGTCCGTTAGTCGTGTTTTGCTTACCATTGATTATCGAATGCAGCGCAACTGTTTTGATAATATATTCATATAAGATCGCTTGAAGTTAGACTATGACAAAATAATTTTAATAACTATAACATGTCAACCAAGAAATAATATATCCCAAACAGTGATTTTATCGCTGAATAAAATCACTGTTTTGAGTTCAGATGTGACAAATTATATCACGAGGGCATAGCCCGAGTGATATAACGATGCGCATCCGAACGACCAACAATGATGTTATCAAGCAATAAAATCACCGATTTGGATTCTAACACGACATCAACAAATAAAATTACTGCTGCCGTACCTGATGTCAAGCAAAATTGCGCCTGATTGGTTTGCGTACTTTTTTTTAGCGCGTCGATCAGATTTCTTAGTGGTTACGTCACATGTATAATGATTACGTCACAAATCTACAAATCTAAGTATAGAATGTCTGTAACTTTATTGCATAACAACGCGCACTTTTGGTTCTTCTAATTCAATATTTAGTGAAAAATGAGGGTCGTGTTTGAATAACAAATAATTTACATAGGCTACCGATCTAATTGAAGGTAATTTTATTTCTCATAGATTTCTGTCACTTGACATAATATTAGGAATAACAATATTAAGAATATCTGAGTGTAAAATTGTTAAAGACATATATGTCCTCTCTTTATGCAAAAGTTAATTGATACGCTAGTTATTGACTTCATCCTTGCCTTTTTTCATAACTGAAAAAAAGTACAACGACTGTCGTTGATAGTAAGTATAAACTTGCCGCACTCTTTGGTTAGCAGCACGGACCCGAACGTACAGCCACTTCCTTAATTTAAACAAACCTATCCATTGACTAACGGAATGAAGTAGTAATACAAAATTGGCTACCTTATTCATTCGAAAACACGAACATATAGCCCTATCGCATAATGCAATGTGGGTAAACAGAACTTATACACAAATCTTTTTTATGATATTCAAATATATATGAGCCATTGAATATTCCTCTTTTTCTTCTATACACGTTGTTTTATACGTATATCATGATTTGGTTTAGCATTGCGGAGGCGTTCCTGACATAGGCATCGTTGGGCGGGGCTTAAAATATGTCCAACCTTACATACGCAGCGAATACGATACTCGTATTTTATTGGACCGCAGATCTTCGTATTGTGCTGAGTGCTGCTCTATGGATAATTGTAATATTGATCTTTGTCAACATTTGAAACGTAAGTAGAATGTCGTTTATTTTCATTTACTCCTTTCCCATAAAAACTAATATATAGTATAATTATGATGGTAATAGAGCTCGATTTAGAAACGTGACATCCACTAGTGGTGATTATTTGATATTATGATCGTATAATTGACTACATATGAAAATAGCGAAACTAACATATTATTTAAGTTACTTTTACGGTCAAAACTTGCATGTATTTGTTTTCACATTGACTGCCAGTATGCTTTCAAGCCATTTGCCATCGTTCTCGCGGTATTTGCAAATATTAAACAAGTTAATTAGCTTACATGATTTGATGTTATATTTAAGAATATTCTTCAAATTTACAACTGGTTGTTATTCATGATATGTGAAAAACAGCTATAAATTATTCGTCAAGATTAGAATATTTTGTATCAAATTGTTATCTTTAATGTTTTTTTGTAACATTTGTTTTTTTTGTGTTTGTTCAATATATTGTTAAACAAAAAACCTGACTTCTTTACGTTTCCCTTTAATGACAATACTGTGGAGTCAGCTACTTCTTTCCACTTAATTTAATTGTTTGTACTGGACATTGTAAGCTATTTAGCAAGATAATTTGATAAACTGTTAAGTTAGAAAAAACCTTTAAAATATCCTTCTAAAGATTGAAACTTTATAAAACTTAAGACATTTTTAAGTATTTTCATTCATTGAGTAAAATGAGGAACACGAACTAAATATCGTTTCAGCAACACAATGTGTTGATGATGAAACTGTTGATTGTGCAAAGATGAACTCGATCTTCCACATCTGCAATGACACACATCAAGCCAAACTTGTCTGTCCGAAATTCTGCAACTTATGCAAACTTGGTAGGTACACGATACAGATGTTTGAGTAGATATATTGAAACAAAACATGTTTCAATATTTTCTGTTCATGTATGTTATTTGTATGTGTATTTCATTGACAAACACTAATAATGACGGGTTAAAATTGTATGTGTGTCAACACTATGAATAAATCTATGAGAACAACAGTTACTTGCAATAATGGTGAAAAATATCGTATCCTATTAACATCATTCGATTGCAATACATACACAGTTCAACTACTAATGCATACACTATTTTAATATAATACATTTAATATGTGATATGCAGGCTTCAGAACCTCAGATCCCCTTTCAAAATTCCATTTTATTTAGTTCCGCCCATTGTTTTCTCGTTTAGGGCACACGCATTTTTTTTTAACTTAGGGACCATATGCCGCTTTTCATGGAATGGCACTCACGTGTCACATTGAAGGTTCCATGATGACGCCATATAAACACATCTGCGGATGTTTCAAATTATAAATTTTACCAGTTCATGTAAAATGTTGAATTCTGCTTAAGCCGGTGCTAGGGGGCGTGGACGGTAGTTTGCATTTGACAGTACCATTCATGAACAGGCTCGATCAAACCGAGCCTGAAACATTTTTAATTTCGCCATGTTCGGCTTTCCTTAGGGATTCTTACTTCATTCTGTTAAGCCTTACATTTGGCATCTTATGTACATGATGTCGTGGTAAACTTGAGTTGATTTAAACAAAGATTGTATAAACACATACGCAAACACATTTCTTCAGTCATACATCATAAGTACTGTCTTTACACGGACGACACTTTTTTGTAAAAGTAATATGCAATTATCTAATTACCTACTTACTAGATATTACAGTTATTACAATTTCATCTTATTTATAAATCAGTCATTGTAACAATCCTATTGTAATTCACAATGATGGCGTAATGATATTCTTTAAAAGAGATAGTTCAATGTAATTGTTTTCTTAACGTCTAAAGTTTGGACAAAAATGGCAGTATGAAGATGATATCATTCATTTTAAATTGTGAACAAATATATCAAAAAGTTTTGTTAAATATCTTATTACATATTCAGTTGATGGCATATGGGCAGAATGGTCAAATTGGGGTACATGCTCGCTTAAAAGTGATGTGTGTACGCAATCGAGATTTCGAACATGCACCAATCCTGCTCCTGCTTTTGGAGGACTTGGTTGTGAAGGAAGGAATACTGAAACCAGAAAATGCTCAACCCACTTTTGTCCTGGTAATACTTTTTTCTTAGAATATACTTTTCAATATACTCTATTGCATGTTTGTCTAAAATGTTTTTCTTCTCCTTTCGGTATGCATAATACATAATATATCAGTGGGCTGTTTATATTTTGTCCAGAATAATATAAAAAGTAAAATTATTATTATTGAAAATTGTTAATTATGAGACATTTGGAACAGTATACCTTGAAATATTCGCAATGTAAGAAACATTCAAATAACCCATCTTGATGAAAACATAATGAATCATGCAATATACATATGTGTTCAAATTAATTGTTGAGTGTCAGTTGAAAGTATATGCATGAATCAATGAGATAATTCAGTTAAATAAACTAATTGAATTATCTTATTCTAGAAATTATAAATATTATACTTGTTTAAATCATAATATTAGTCCCTATATATGCATGTATTGTTGTTTTTACTTCTTTTTCAGGCCACATTTGAAATATATATCTATATGACTGCTCTTGTATATTCATAATGTGTTACCTTATCTAAGTAAAGATACGTTTGTCATTGTAATAATTATCTTTTAATTATTCAAATTGATATTTAATATACAGGAGTATGTGCTGGAAAAGAGTACTTGAATTCAAGTTTATCAAACGTTGCTAAAGGTAAAAGCGTCACATTGAGTTCATTATTCGACTCAATTTCTCCGAGATCACTTATGGTAGGTATTTCATAAATCTATGCACTTAGAACTTATTTGCATTTAATTGATTTATTTACTAGTAAATAATTAATAATTTAAATTAGATTATTAAAGTATTTTATAGTAAGTTGATAAAAAATCAAGGTATTGATTAACATGTTATCATTTATTAACGTATATTATGTTAATATGTAAATCATCCAATTTATGAATACGATAATAAATTAATTTGTTTTGTATTTTGTTTATTTATAAATGTATCCGTTAATTGATTTATCTTACTAAATTAATTTATTGTCTTTTTTAATTTAAGTTTAATTGATACAATATTTCAAGTTTTAGTTCAAATTTAAACTCATGTACTCATGCGCGTTATAGGAAAATGCCACCCAAACTTAACTTGGTGATTCACTAGTATTAATCATATTTCGTCTTAGAAAATCACACAATCATACTTTATAAGTAATACTAAATAGGGTTACACAAAAACACTTGGAATTTATTTGTTACTTTTTTATGGCAATGTTCTGTTAAAGATAATAAATATATCGACTACTGGACCATATGTTCTGTTCCTCTTACTTTACATTTCATCAGTACTGCTTTATTATACTTATCATAATTTATTACTTTAACAGGTGGATGGAAATCGTGACAGCTCCTGGCCATGTGCTTGCACTTTAAACAGTGATCATCCGTACGCCATTGTCGATTTGCAGCATCCGTTTAACATACTTTCCATGTACATTGTAAACAGAGGAGACTGTTGTCGTAAATAACACGAATACATTTTATCATCTGCTAAATTTGGATACAAATTAACTGTCTTTCTAGATCCAAAAGTACTTAATTTATGTTGATCTTTAATGTACCTTAAATAAGCAATCGGAAAAGTTACAGTATTTTCAAAAGTTATCTTTGGAGACGGAATATTTGTTTTTCTTTTGGCTCTAATAAACATATATTGCTTTCAGCTGAACGGCTCAATAATTTGGCTGTGTTCGTTGGAAACTCAACATCAAGTTTGAGCCTTGCTGCACAACACCCAGGTCCTATTGGTGCAGACTGTATCTTAGTATTCGATTCAGCAGTGCACGGACGATATGTAAAACTACAAATACAAGGCGTGTCGTATCTAACAATTTGTGAACTCGAAATATATGCTGAATAAAAATTTTCATCCCAAAACTGTTTCTTTCGAAATGTTTCTCCATACGATATATCCCCCTTACCGCTTCAGGGCGAAAGTCCCGTAAGGAACCATGGGTTATTTCACAAAACAAACAAAAATCAATACAGAAATTTATTGCAATAAAACCAACAATTTTCAAGAAACTAAACTAAATCAGTTTGGATCTGTTTCATACAAAAAGCAGTAATATGTAATACTTGTGGTAATCATTAAATGATTATTACAAATTTTGCATACAATACATTTTGTTAGTATAACTTAGATAACAAACACATGAAATTAAATGTTACTTCAATGCGACTAAATAAGCGACTGAATATAGAAATAGTAAAATATATTATAACATACTCCAAAGAATCAAACCTTTTCTGATGGTTTAATACTGCTTATACCGAAGCATGAGGAAAATTCACTCTTAATAGCCGCTGTTTATAAGGCCCGATCAAATCGAGTCCACATATTCCTCCTGTTTCTTTTTCCAAGAAAGCCTTTTTTCTGGCATGTTCATACATTTTTTTCATATAAGCACATAAAGAAGAAGCAAAAATGGGATACTCGTAATTAAACGATCATGAACATTGCAGAGAATTGAAAACAATTTTTATGAAGACAGACATCAAACAGTTCTCATATCCAAGAAATTTTATACTCTTAAAATTTGAGTGTGTTGAGAATTTCAAAAGACAATATGTGTATGTATTGCATAAGAAAATGGCTTGACATTATGTGTATCCCTTACATAAACTTTTTAATAAAAAATAATGTCAGATAACGTATTTATGACGTTGGTGCATGGGACAGATTGCGTTAAATGGTAGTGATATAATTTGTTTTATTGTATTATCAAATTAGATTATTTCATGATGGTTGTTGGCATGTTTTTGCAGCAATAGCGATTTGAATATCAATGATTTTTTTCTTAGAAGAGCGCTGAGTATTTTGTATTTAAACGCTGTTGTCCATGACCTATTGGGTCCAGCCCTTGTATATAATGGGCAATAAAACTGACATTTTCTTACACACACCCATTTACTGTTATACATGATTAAGATGATACATAGCAGAACATTAAATGATAAAGCAGATTAAAAGCATATAAAACAGGGACTTGAGTGTATTGATGGCTAAAGAGAGAGGCTGAAACAAAGTTTCAAAAGCATAAGAAAGTAAGAAAGAAAAGCTAGCCTAAAAAACGTTACAGAATAAAAATGTCTAGTATATCGCTGCCTGAATCGTCCATTTCTTACTCTGACAAGTCTCAAATAAAGATTGAAACTAATCAAAATATGATATTTTTCTAAAACGTTTATTCCATCGACTTTTTTTATCTATATGTTCGTTTTGGTGGCCGGTTGTGGCAATTTCAAACCCGCAAGAATTTGTATTGTTTTAACATAAAAAGTGGCGGGCAACCTACAAACCCAAGAGATTTTCGTACAAAAAGTCGAAAGGAACGTATCAACCTCGGTATTTTATAACAATTGTTTGAAACAGCGAGTGACATTTTGATTTCACTGGCCGGTAGCGTCAATAGTTTAGCATTATATCACAGTTTGTCTATAAAAGAGTTGAGGAACAGAAAGAAATCCGCTACATCTTTTGCAAGCGTTACATAAATTCTACAAATGTCGAGGGGAAAAATTATAAGCTGCGATATTTTGTTCCTCAACAACGTTCTCATAAAATATCGCTGCGAATAATAACAATTTTCAGTCGCGACTGTTTGAAAGAGACAGTTCACGACGTAAAAACTCGAGGCTTTTTACTGCTCAAACCTAACTTTTTACAAGGTATGCATCAAAACAAAATATCGCGGATTATAATGGACGCAATCGGTTACTTTTTAAATAAGGCATATGTTCTCATGGCTTTTGTTATATTCCTGGATGTAGTGGGTAGTGTCTGTTGAACATCACAAATTAGTGTTGTCACACCTTTAGTTCGAACTAAAATCTATTATTTGTGGAACATTGTTTTTGTATGCAAGTTGGCAATCAAGTGAAACCGTGGTGGAAAACAAAATAAAAAGATCAATGACTTTAAAATGACTTTTAATATAATTCCCCAAATACTAAGAAACACAACACTTTGTCTACTAAGTACACAGTAAAAGCCGCAGTTTCATTCGTAAAACTCGATAGTTGACGACAGACGTGTGACAGAAAAACCTCAAGAGTTTATATAAGCCGCGACATTTTAAAAAATGTCGACATAAAATCTCGCTGATTTAAAATTGCACGCTATACTTTATAAACTGACCATAAAATGTCTCGCATGTTTCAAATGGAGCATAGTACGTTGAAAAGGACTCTCAACAGAACTGCGGTAAAATGTGTCAACACTTATATTAAAGTGTATAAAGCTATATATTTGCTTCAAAAAATATTGTTTGAATTTTACAAAAGCATACTTCCAAAAGGCTTGTATGAAATAAACTGAAATTGTAGATAATTGCCTTAAAAGCGAATGACACATGCACAAAATCATAACTAAACGGATAAAACCCTACTTAATATAGTAAATTATATTTGTTCAGGAACACTTCATTCTGTTTACGTACAATATTCATGTGTTATATAACAGAGACATTCTATGTTACAACTTTTTCGGGAATCAACCATGTAATAATGGCACCAATATAATTTTACTGTTGGTAAACGTGATAAAATATTTTTTAAGATACAGATTTATACCCTTCAAAACATTTTTAGAGGAAATAATTCATTTGAATATTCCAAAGAAATGAAATTTGAAATTGTGTATTTTCTAAGAAACTTGTTCTTTACAGGTCATCTTTTAAGGTACAAAACAATTTATGATACTCCCTACGTTATGGTCACAATTGACTTGTGTATTAAACAAATATCCATCACTACACTTAAGTAAAATTGTTTGCATCTTTTTTACAGATATATTGAAATTTGTAAAACTTGAAACAAGGATAGTCATTCCACATATTATATGGGGATTCAAATCCCATAATAACGCAGTTCTGCACTCTTCCTCCATTTGGCTCTCCTGATCTAAAGTATCTGAAAAAGACAAGCATGTAATACATACAAAATTTTTCAATAAATTGAATCATTAACACACCTTTATCAGACTTCCTACTTTTGGGCTGACATCTCAAATCTAATACCTCTTTAAACATTTCTCAAGTAAACAACTATTGCTAATATGTCGTTATAACAATAGGGTTCGATAAACGATTTGCAATTTGTGAACCCCTGACCTCGGATTCATTAAAATAATGTAACGAATCAAGATCAGAATGACAATTAGTCATTCAAAATCAAGGTATAAAAGGTAGTTTTTCCTCTCTTATTTTACATTTTCTATCCACCGTTTTTAATGTCCCAAAACCATATATACAGCGGTCTAAGGTACAAAAATATTCCTTATTAAAATCCATTAATTTTGAACCTTGACCAACATGGGTCAGGTTGGAGATTTATCATGTGCTCTAAATGTCGTAGTGAACACGTGACACCGTAAAATACACACGAAGTGAACAAATTAGACTTGTTTCACTTGCACTCTCCGCCATGTTTGTAATAGTAACTGCAAAGGCATGTTCTTGTCACATGATGTCTTCAAACATAAATTGGTGATGATATCTGCATTTCAATTTTTGATAAACGTAAGTTTACATATTTTACATTCAAAATTATATCAAGCCAGGCAAACTGTCTCTCCGTTGAATCTGGTGATGCTCCCCGAATAGGGTTTGGACACAGAAAAGTACACCTCTTGTAGATTAAGAGTTAAGTCCCGGATAAAGTTTAAAGTGCAATTATTCAAAAATTAGGCAAGGAAGAGTAACTTGAATGTTCTTTGTACCACACTTTTACTCGATGCCATCTATCTATCGGCAAAGTTTCTTGTTGATATCTCCTGTAGTTTCACTGTTATGTCCCACACAATGTTTACAGTTTAAAATTGAAAAACGGCAATAACTCCAAACATAGGCAAGTCAGACTTGCGTTTCTTTGCACTGCATATATAAGCTATGAGATCTATCTACTTACAAATTTTCATGTTGATATCTCATAGTTTCAGCGTTATGTCCCGGAAAAAAATCATGGTGTAAACGTGAACAAAGGGCAATAACTTCAAAATAAGGAAAGGCAGAGTTATGGTGTTTTACACTGCACAGTGTCTTGCTGAAATCGCTTTTACTTTCAGCTTTATGTCCTGGAAAATATTCTTAGTGTTAAAATGAACAAAGGGCAATAACTACAAAATTAGCCAAGCAGAATTTTACTGCATTGCAGTTTTACTCGATAAGATCTATCTTACTATTTAGTTTCTTGTTGATCTCTCTTATGGTTTATAGTAATGTTCTGGACAAATTCCAAAGTAAAAAAGTAAACAAAGGGCAACAACTCAGAAATTATTCAAGGCAAAGTCATTGTTCTTCTGCTATGCATTTCTACTCAATGATATATATATACCTGATATTTCGTACAGTTTCAGAGTCAAGTTCAGTACAAAGTTTATAGTGTCAAATTGAATAAAGGGCAATAACTCAAAAATCAGGCAAGCAGAGCTACAGTTCTTTTGATTTGCATTTTTACTCAAAAAGATCTATCTATCTTCCTGCTAAGTTTCTTATTGATATCTCTAAGGTTTCAGAGTTACGTCCCGGACAAAGTTCAAAGTGTAAAAATAAACAAAGGGCAATAACCCTATACTTAGGGAAAACAGATATACGTTTTTTTGCACTGCATTTTGTCTCAATGAGATCTATCTACCTACACGGTTTCTTGTTGAGAACTTTTGTGGTTTCAGAGTTATGTCCCGGACAATGATCAAAGTGAAAAATTTAAAAAATGCAATATTTCCGAAATTAAGGCAGTAAGACTTACGGTCTTTAATTGTGGTTTTTCGTTGAGCATTAAAATCATATAAAATTTATTTCGGAACCCATCAAGCTTTGTTTTCATTTTTGAGGGTCCAAAATAGATATCAAATGCTTTTTGTAACTAAAATAACAAAGTTCTGCCAAAATGTCAAGAAAATGGTGGTATGAAATATAGAGGTCTTCTGACATTGTTGAATACAATATTGATTATATTGGACTCATAAAAGCTACAAAACCTATATCAAACTCGGCTAGAACCTCGTCCAATATAGTATTTACAGCTGTGTACTGTAATTACATTTAGTCTTGTACTGAAAAATGTATAGTTTAGATATTATCCATATGATTAACTCCATATCACCCAAAGTAGGCCTATATCACCAAAGAAGTGAGTTCCGTAAATTTAAATAAATGTAAGTTAAAAATGGCATATTTTTTTAGTTTGTCTTACAATTAGCATGACATATTTTTCTGTAATTATCAAAATTTGTTTATTTTAATTTACTTAATGTTATCATTTAGATGAACAAGAGCCACAGCCGGGAGGTTGCAAACACGACTTTTAAAGGTTGGAATAGTCTGAGTTTTCCTTAGAATTTTATGGTATTAATTAATCTTAAAGTACAAACCAAATTTATTGTTGTGTTATGTGGTCATGTCTCACTTTTGTCCTTTTGTTATGGGTCATTGAACTGGTTTAAAAACAGAAAACGTGCTTTCGCCTCGTGTTCGTCTTCAAATGAAGAGTACTTCGGCAATGACTACGAAAACGGCTGAGAGCAAAACGAATTGTTACTTAGTCTCTAGTTATAATATGTTTTCATAGATATTCATGGGCCAAAAGAGCGAGATCTTAATTCATTAATTAGAATGAGAATTTGTGGTTATTGATCATTCAATCATTCAATAATAAAAGAAGTAAAACTAATTAAAATGAGCATACGTACGTAAAAAGGCGCAGTTTGACCTGTTCGAAATGAAACCCTGTTTTTTTTCTTCTTCCTCATCAGAGTATCCAATCCGCGTAGATCTGGTGATCCTAAACTTTTCGGCGACAAAATTATTCTCTTCTAGACTTTCAAAGTCTGCAAAAGTTGCTCCAAGAAGATTACAATCGACACGTGCTTCACTGAACGTGTTCTTATTTTTTATAAAAAGATAACAACGTGCTAAAAATTGTGTCCAGCCCTGTGGACATATTTTGATATCATTAAGATCATTAATCACTTTTACTTGGGATTTCTTTAAACTTCAAGTTCTGCCTTCTGTGCATTAATCAAAATATTTTGACTTTCCATAAGCTTCTTATTTTGAATTAATGCTTCGGTCATTTCTCTTAGCTTCGCTTGGATTTTGTCATCAATATCTGTAACCATCGATTCAAAATCAGATTTCACATCTCCAATGTTGCCTATTACTTCAGTTTTAAACTTAGAATAATTCTTGATCAACAGGCTGTTTTGTAAATTTACTTGATTTGTTAAGTCTGAGAACTGTCCGTTTAACAGATCAGTTTCTTTACTGAACTGAATAGTAAGTTTTTCAACTTGATCCCTAGTCCATTTTTTCTCACTTTCGATTCCAAGCGACACTAGCATTTTGCTTTATTACCCCTCACTTTTTTCGTAATGCTAATTTCCCATAGGCCTCTGGGTGTTAGTCTTACTGTTAATGCAAGTGTACCACGTGACTACGAATTTTGTACTGTTACATAGGTAACAGTATTTTTTAACAGTATAAAATCTGGTCACGTGGTCTTTTTTCTAAATAAAATGAAATAAAACGGCCGCCATTTTTTTCTCGATTCATTCTTATTTTCGACGATAGGGCATCGCCGAAGTAACTATTACTCTGATAAAATTTAGTTCTTTGCACCCTAGAGTCCCTTTCGCGTATTAAATATCTTTTTGTTGAATAGTCAACAGGAAACATCCGTTTACAACGGAAGTAATTGTAATGTAAATAATTTTGTGTCAAACTGGAACATGCAGACAATTAAAGCATACAACAAAGGATAATTTAACAATTTTAACCAGTGAAACGTTACAGATAGAGTTGGTGGACAGACATCTGTAGGATATCATCGTTATTTTCTAAATGCACTTTGTCAAAAACCATGCGAAGAATATTCTGGATGCAGAAGGATCAGATTTCACAGATCATATTCTTATAAATGGGTTAGTGTTTTGTTTTCTGAATAAAACACAGCTTATTTTATGTTTATGACTGGTAGATATCATCACTTGCCTAAAGAATAAAAGAAAAATAGCTTCTCAAGTAGGCCTACAGTGCACTTAAAACTTGCAAGGTAAGGACAGTTTAGTTATTGCTTCTCGTGGCTTATTTTTGTTACAGTTAGATTTAGTTGCCAAATTCAGATCATCACAGTATTTGTTCGGGTTCGGCTACGCCTCGGGTAACAGTATTTTCCTCGGGATGATATTTTTACTGTTACCCACAAACCCATGTGTTATTTATATAATGTTTATCAATTTTGAAAATTTCTTTTTTATTTTTGTGTTCTCCTTTCTGTTTTAAAATCTCGAATTTAGGGCACATCTGTTCCTTCATGTGTATGACAGTATTATTAAGCTCTTCGTAATTTTGTTGCAAGTTTGTGAACATTTCATTCGCCAGTTCGTTGTCATTATTCATACGCGTTTCTACAAAACCGATTCGTTTTTCGACCATTGTTAATCTCTTCCTCAGAGTTGCGTCAACAAACGACATTGCAGAAAATACAACAACAATTGTAACGTATTTGAGATAAATTTCCATCACCATATTTTGTCTTATTTAACAAACTTTAAGGATGTAGAAAACATTTATGAACACTTTTTTTTCGTCGTACACTAAAACACTTAATTTTCTTTTAAAACATTTCTTAAATGAGGAAAAAAACTTTAACAAATTAGATCATGCGTACCACTTAAGATAAACATGTTTGTAATGAAACTTATATTTTGTGTTTCCGGTACTTAATATATCACTTGAATAGTGAATGCGTTTTAATTTATAGTGTTTCGTGAATATAGCTCTCTGAATTTGACCTTTGCTCTACACATATTTTACAACGCTTAATTTTATTGTAAACGTTGTTAATTGGAGATCTTTTTAAAGATGCATTGTTTTTCTTGTTTATTTGATGACCAGTTCAGGCACTATAATAGTGCTATATGTAATGGTGTTTACATACATACAAGAGGAGAGGTATTACAAACGGGCATTATTTTTAAATCATTTTGCAATAAAAGTCACATTATTATGGTAATTCTTATTTCAATGCCATATCAGTTCAATATTTTAAAGCATCGATTGCTAAGTGATTTCATTTATTCAATTTTGTTTTGGTTGGGTTTAATTTGAGGTCATTTGGCGACTTTTCAGTTTTAAAGGTAGAGGAAGACATCAGGTGACCCTCCGTATATTATTTCAAGCACGAGCGGAATCCTGAGTTCTTTACTCATATGAAAAAAGTTCCTGGGGGGACTTCGAATTGACACCAGTAGGAAAAACTAGAAAACTCATAGAAGTTTAGAAATGACCCGATGACAAGCGGTTTTTAACCAATGCAGTAAACTTGTTTTAATTTTAGAAATATTAATAACTTTGTCATATATTTTTGAATTATGGGCGTGTTTATTCGACCGATTATTTTCACACATTAATTATCTAGATAGAGAGAATAATAATGCGCGTTTAGGCAAAAAAAATCACAATCATTCCCTAGAAATTGTTGGTTCTAGGAACGAATTATAGAGAGTGCGTCTATAACTTTTTAAGGATTAAAACCATTAACTTAATGCAAAATGTAGGTTTAATTGAAAAAATGTTTGTTGAACAAAGCATTGTTTGAATATGTTCCAACATTAGTTGAAATTATCTTATATCTACTTTTTATGATATCAGAAACTTCTTGCCAATGTAAACACACTTTGTCACTTACCAAATATGTCATGGTATTAAGTTTGTTTATTTTTCTCTTTTCTACAACCAGGCAGCTTTTCCGTAAAGGCAGATATTCTATATAAAAATGTAAAGATTTATATTTATATACATGTTAATATGTTCAGCGATTAAAATTGTATACTGACTGAAATAAATACAATACTAATATAAATAAGTGTGAAGAGCACAGATATGACTTTTGAAAATAAAATATAAATAATTGAATGTGCATGTTAACAATTTAATAAATACATTGAATGCAAATAAAGTCATTATCAAAACTGTTATTTGGTGATAAGTACACAAAACAAGCAGATATATTTCTAAAATATAAATTATAACAACAAGTATGAAAAAAACAGACATGTTTTATTGTGAAAAAACAGATATAGACGTTTTATCTTATTATAATATTATAACTTTTCTTTTTTGCGCAAAATGTGGCGTCTATTAACGTAGACGTTTGTTTTATACGTTAACGTCATTTTCTTTATGTATCAACTGACGAAGCCAATAAAGCGAAACATGTTTTGATATTTAAATTTGTGTTGGTTTTGATCTATTTGTCCTATAAAATATAAATACTACAGGCTATGAATGTAGACACTGAATATATCACATATCTTTCTGCTTCTAAAACAACATCCTGATTTTTTAAAACTAAAATAGCTTCAAAATATCACACTTTACGAATGTACCGATACTATTGTTTTTTTTTTAATTTTACGCTCTTTATTTTAAATTCAAGAACGCGTCAAAGAAAGTCAAAAAGATTTTGAGAAAAAACACCGTATTACTTCCGTTCTCTAACAAAGGTAAAATAGTATCATACAATATACTAATGTACAGAACTAGCAAATCGATTGTGCTAGTAACATTTTGTACTGCACTCTGAATCTATCTTCGTTTTAAACCTTTTCTATAACAAATATCTACCTGTGTCTCCAGAGATTTAGAATAGATTGAAACACAAAGGAATGTCTCATCATTTATGCAGATGTGACACCCTTTTGAAAACTCATTGTATTGCGTTTTCCCTTCTTTATGCAATTGTCTGACAAAAGGCCTAGCTGGTAACTTTCAAATTGTCATTATCCTCTTGGTAAAATGAACAACGGATAAAACAACAGATGAAAAATTACGTTCAAATGTATTTGAATATAAATTATAATTAAGCTATATTGGGTTTTTGAAGGGAAATTGAATTTCATATATGAGATATTTGATATAAGTCAAGAGAACAGTACATTATTTGCAGAAAAAGTGGTTTATAAATAGTTAATCAAATGGCAATGGCTGTTCATGCCCATAAGATGCATGGATCTATAGGCATTTCTTTCAGGCGCGATCAGTTTTTTTTTAATAATTGTAAATTTCAGCCTTTTAACGGAAATAGGTGAAGTTTAAATACAAGCAGAAAAAAACGCCATAATAATTATAATTGTTCATCAAAAACGACTGTCAGCAGAGATAATACGTGCAATGTGAAAAATATCTTTAGAAAACTAAATTTAATGTCTTCAACTTCGTCATGTCTTAATCTAAGAAGCACCCTTTTATCAAGAATTATGTTTTAAAATAAAACAATAGCAGCGTTACGAAAACTTATTTTGATATACAAATGTATAACAATTTTAACATTTATGACACGGTCATATGGATTATTGCTTATGTAAGTAATTTGTGAAATAGTAAAAAATCAAATTCAGCTGATGAATGTATCTTTGACGGATTATTGAGTAGTACATACGTTTTTAGGAAACTCTGATTGATGAAAAACATATATTATTTAAGATTTGTTCCATGCATTAATTTTTTTTTTATCAAAAACGTATTTATATAAGGAGAAAAATAAATGGCCGTATCTTTCGGATGAGCTTGACTGACTGATAAGATTATGCAACTCGGTCTGATACCTGACACATGTTCTCCATATGCATGACCGACATTCACGAGCATTCTTTCCAGCTTTTACAGGTGAATTTAGAATGATAACTCTGGATCATCCCTCAAATACTCTCTAATTATTTGGATTTATTATAATTAATGAATGGTGTATTATACCACTTTATTAACAAAAACGATAACTAAATTGTGTCCAGACTCTATACTGCCTGTGGCTCAATTTTTCATATTAAAATGCCTTATGCTTGAACGATCAAACTTCAACGCAGGGAAATTTCATTGCACAATATCAACAAGTTGGGGAAAAATTTCTCCTGAGAAAAAACCTTTCTTGATCTTAGAATATGCCACACAAGATAGTAATCCGATCTAGCATATTTTCCCTACATTTCATTTTGATGTCTTTCATTCAACTTATCGTACAAAAATTGGTTATGGGGAGTTTTTAAAAAAAATATTTCAAGCTATACTAGATTTTAATATTTGAAAAACAGGACACTTATAAGAATGTTCAGTTTGGTTTTATGGTGCAGCAACACAGTTAAAAATAAGTTTAAATAGTTGTACTGAATAAAGCGTACGTAATTCTTTCATCGAAATAGATGTTATTTTGTTTTGTGACTAGCGACACAATAGACAAAAACAAAAAAATATATATTTACTACACGAAAATGTAGACGGTAACCCCAAATTTATTTTCACTTATACACCGAATGTTTTGTTTTACTTACTTACATATAAGTATATATA